AGACTCAGGGGGGCCTAGACCTACAGCTAGGGCTGATAAGAAAGTACCTAGCCATCTTCTCCCTCCTCCTCAGGGACAGCCTCCTCAGGCTCCCAACCCTCGGTTCTGGGACCCGCTGACTCCTGTTTTTCCCATGCTCCTGACACATCCCCCACTCCAGAACTTGGGTCCATGGCCTTCCTCCTCACAGTCACAAATGTCCATGTGTGTATCCCTATAGCCCATGAGTCCCTGAGGACAGGCCTATGGGCCTGGCATAGAACCCATCCTTAGTGAGAAGTTACTGAATGGCAGATCTGTTCCCTGAGCTGTGCTTGCTACAAGCCCCCAGACTCCCCCTTCTCCAGTGACCTACCAAAATGCAATTAACTTCAACTGTACTGTTCAGCTGTGGATAGGGCTCCCTTTATGCCTAGCTCTCTGACACCCACAACCCTATAGCTGCCATGGTGCAACCCTTTTCCAAGCCTCTGCTGTATGCTTGTCCTGGACTACATGCCTCCTTCCCTGGGCAAGAGGGAGCCTCCCTGGGATTTGAGCAGAGCAGAGCTCTTCCCCCAAGTGCAGGTTGATGTGATTAGCCTGGGAGAAACAGGTGTGATGGAGCCCTCTAGGCAAGATGCCCTGAGCCCTTGCTCCATGGAGTCTAGGTCACCTGCAGGGCCATCTCCACCTCTTTAGGAAGAGAGACCAGGTACCACCACCATGCCCCCAAACAGGGACTGCTGAACTGATGTGGACATTGAAACAGCACAGTGAGCCCATGTAGGAGGGAGTGGCTGCCATCTGGACTGTGGTAGGGGAGATACGCGGCACGGCTCCAGGCTGGCCAGCAGGGATTTCCAGGCTGTGAGGCATTGGTAAAAGGATAAGGAAAAACCATGAGAGCACAGGAAGATGCATCCCTAGGAAGAAACCACTGGAATGTCCCATCTGGGAAGGCTCGAGGAGGGCTGAGGAGCATAGGTCAGTGGCAGGCCTAGGGAGCCCCTGGGACCCTGGTAGGGTGTTTTCTATATTCTCTTCTTTGTGGCAGGCTGTGACCCAGGCTGGATCAGAGATGCAGGAAATGATGGCTCCAGAGCTTACTTTATCGGGGACAGGGAGAGCCTAGATACCCTCAGGAGGAGCCAAGCTCTCCTGACCCCTTGTATTGTCAGCTCAGATGTTGAGCCCAAGTTACCAAATGCTCTGCCTTGTGCCAGGGCCTGGGCATCAGGAAAGGTGGTACCTGTGTTCAGGGTTCGGAGTTGTGGTATAGTAAACAGTTGGAAAGTGGGCTTCTCATGTTACTGGTAGTCCCCTCTCCAATTCCTTTTCCTTGTTCTGCTCTGGTCAGATGGTTTCTCTCTTTGTTCTCACCACAGGGCCTTGGCCTTCTGAAATGGCAAAGCCGGAACTGAAGTCAGGAAGTGATGGGAGGCTCCCGTGCATAGTGTGCTGAGCATAAAGGAGAGGGGGGAAGGGCAAGGGATGGTGGAGGAGGCTGCTTAGGGACTGAAGGACTTGAAAGGAGTAGATCATGCAGAAGTCAAGAGGTGTTGGGGGTAGACAAGAGGGTCAAGACTTCAGATAGGGAGGTGCCGTGTGTGTAGACACACAAGGCAGGCAGTTTGCTTGCTGGGACATTTCTCTGAACCCTTTGGACCTCATTGTTTACTGTGACCATGACTGAGGCTTGTGAAGTGGGTGGGTGTAGAGCCTAGAAGGAACTGAGGAGGTCAAGTATGGAGCGACTGTATTGTTGACATGGGTTTAGCCATGTCAAGGGCCTCAATGATTCAGCCTAGTGGGAGTGTTAAAGTCCTCCCTGGGTGAGGCTCAGATGGATGGGAAAGCCTTCTCTTCTGGATTCAAGTGAGAGCAAGCACCCATTGTGTACAAAAGCAGCAACTGCTGCTCCCCTTCCCGGATGATTACAGACTTTCTACTGAGTCTAGCTCAGCCCTCTCTCTGTGCTATGCATAGTGAATACTCCAGGTCAGCAGGGTAGTAGGTATGTCAGAGCACTCACACCCCATTTGACCTTAGCATGTCTGTGTCTGTGTATTTGTGAGTTTGTCTTTTCTTCACTCCCTTGCTGCCTGTAGTCGGGGTTCCAGACCCGAGCTTCCTGGGTTGAAGCAAGTGGTAAGTGTCCACTTTTTTTCTGGGATTGCTTGTAGGTGTTCCCAGTCCAGGCTGGCCCCTGCTTGATGACTAGATCAGAAATACAGTCAAATTGTCCCTTACTGGTCTTCCTGGAGACGGGTGGAAGCAGCCATGGGACCTTGGTAAGACACCTGCAGAGGTACATTTCAACTCTTCCGAGGGGGGATAGTTAGCCTTTAGCCTCTATACCTGCTTCCTTTAAGCAGAACTCCTGTGGGGAGAGTGGGGTTAGGCTTGAACATACCAAGGAGGAATGAATGAACTAGACTTAGGTGCCTCACCCTTGAGGACCTCCTTGTTCCCATATTTAGGGAGGAAGCTGAAGCAGAGAAGATGTGCTAACTGGGCAGGTTGCATTGCAGTGCAGGAGGTGCTGATTCCTAAGCTTATCCATAAAAGTTGTGTGGCTCCCAGGACAGGAAGAGTAGGAGAAATGGATGGGAACACAAACTGCAGTTGCTTCTCTGCTTGGATTTCAGGGCCTCTGGGAACTGGCTGTTTGTCTCTGTTTGCTTCCCTAGGGCCACCTGGATGCCCTGGGTGACTCCTTAGGTGGTGTGTGGAGCCAGAACAGCAACAGCCATGAGCTCATCTCCCTGGAGGCTCTGGGAAGGGAGAGGGAAAGTGGCCAGGGAAGGAGCAAATGGATGCCGGAAGGAACTTTGGGATGGGCCATAGCGCCAGGCTTAGGGGCAGGAGAGGAAAGGACAGATGCCAAATGCCACTGGGATCTGAGTTATGTCTGTGTTATTCCCCTCAGCTCTTTTTCTTTCTTTTTGTTTTTGGAGATAGAGTTTCTCTGCGTAGCTCTGGTTGTCCTGAACTGGCTCTGTAGACCAGGATGACCTCGAACTCAGAGATCCGCCTGCCTCTGCCTCCTACAGTGCTGGTATTAAAGGTGCGTGCCACCACTGCCTAGCTGTGGGACAACTCCTTGATGATGAGTTTGGCCTTTCCAGGATGAATCCTGGCACAGCCCAGGCTGGGCTTCTTCTACTGCCAGCTCCTGTCAGCAGGGGGAGGCTGTGCTTCATTGGGCGGCAGAGATGGCACCAGAGGTTGGACCCAGCTTAGGCAAGAGAAAAAGAGAGAAGAGGCTTCCTGCAGACCGCCTGGGGTGGGGGGTGAGGAGAAGGCTCCTAGATCTGTCAAGCTGTAGCCTTGCTGCTGCCCCAGAATCAGGTTGAAACTCAGTTCAAGTTTTCTCAAAAAGACAGCTGCCATTCCTACTTCCCACTTCCTGGTCTTTGTGCGTGTTTCTCAATGAGATTCCCATTCTTTCCCTCCTGCCTGGCCACCTCCTGCTCAAGCTCTAATAGGTGGATTCACCATCACCTCCTCCAGGAAGCTTTCCAGGCTTCCCTGCTCTCCAACAGTTCTGTCACACCACCTGCTTCCTCATTTTCTGATCGATGCCTCCATCAACCAGATCCTGAGACTCCTGTACCCAGCACAAGATGGGGCCAAACGACAGATGCTTAGTGAACAAATGGACGAAATGAGTGGACAGCGGGAGCCACAAACACTAAAGTGCAGGAAGCCGCTGTTTTGTAGTGTTTGTGCCCAGTAGGTTCCTGTTCAGCTCAGCTTTGCCTTTTCCCTGTTCTGATGAGATGGGAGAAGAGGGGGCAACCAGGACCTGAAGAGACTGGAGTGGTTCCACACATCAACAAGAAGGTCTGCTTTGTGACTCCAGGGCCCCAGCGTCCTGAAAACAGCTAACATATGAGAGCCACTGGTATGGCCCTAGAGATGATGAAAGCCCATGTCTTTCCTAGTTATAAACTGGGACAGAGAAGTGTAGGCATCTGCCCATGGTCACATAGTTAAGAGGGGGAGGCCACCTTGGGCTGGGAGTCCTGTCCTCCCTGCTTGACAAGTGTCTTCATCTGGGGCGGGTTAATGTCTGGACAACTGTCTCCCTAATCCTTCCCCCAGGCCCTGCAGTCCTGGAGAACCGGCCTACACTGCCCCCAGTCCCTAGTCGGCTCTCAGGCATAGACAATCTCTGAGCGCCCCCTGCATGGCGTGGTCTGGGCAGCTCTCTATCGTCCTTCTCCTTGACTCACCTCCAACCCCGGAGGGCTGGACTCAAGCTCGGCAGACACAACGCCTTCTGAACGGCCCCAGCTGCACCACCGCCCGGGTTGCTTCCACACTGCGAGGCCGCTCTTTTCCGCGCCCCGGGTGGGGCAGGTCGAGCGGTGTGTGCTATGCCTTTAAGTCCTAGCGAGATGAGCTCTGTGAGTCGCAGCCGAGGCTAGCGCGGGACGTCGCCATCAGCCGGGCTCAGGCCAAGAGCGGAGGGACAGCGGGGATCCACGCCGCCCACTGCCTGCTGGTTGCTGGGGCTCAGCTAGCGGCAGGCGGTACCCGCTGTGAAGCGGAGAATGTGAGAGACAGAGCAGGGCCGTGGGGAGGTGGGCGAGGAAAAGGGCGGCGGCAAGGCAGACGGAGAGACAGCGGAGAGGCCGGGGACCGTTCGGGCACGGGTCGGGGGGACAGAGCAGCGAGAAAGGAGCGAGAGCACACAACCTCGGGCGGGGGTGCGGGGGAAGCCGCAGGAGCCCGGCAGCGGGCCGGGTTGAGGTTGCCAGCGCGGCCACGACGGGGCAGGCCATAACGGAGGAGCAGGGACGCCTGCGGGGTGTCCTCTGGGAGTGGCAGGGGAACGTGAGGCGTGGTTGGCCCAGGAGGGGTCGCGCCGCGAGGACGCTGGGGCAGCGAGGGACCTCGATGAGCGCCCCGGGAGGGCGAGAACCTGGAGTGCGGAGCCGGGTGTGCGGCAACGGGGGTGTGTGCGCGTCCAAGTGTGCGCGTGTGTGCGCGAGTGTGAGCGCACGGGCGGGTGGGAGCGCGCTTTAGGGATTCTGCTGGCATCGCAGCGTGGAGAGCAGGAGGCAGGAATCGGGCGTGCAGGGGAGCGCGGGGCCCTCCCTCGTACACGCTCTGCGCGCTCTCCCCTGCGCACACACTCACACACACACACTCTCTGTCTCATAAACACACACACACACACACACACACACACACACACACACACACACACACACACACACACACACACACACACACACAGGCACAGACGCTCTTCCTGCTTCGCTCGTTGCCGCTGCCACCATCTCGGTGCCGAGCCCTGCAGAGCGGGAACCCAAGCTGGAGTAGGGATTGGAGGCGAGCAGAGCTGGGTGATGTCGGCCCAGAGCGGAGTCGCGCGTGGACGGTGCGCTCGGATGGTGAGTGTGGCGGGGTCCGGATGCCGTGGCTGGGTTGGGGCCGTAGGGGTGCTGTAGGGGGAGCTGGGGTGTCAGCCTGCCGGCAGCGCAGCATGCGCAGCCTCTGATTGGGCTGGAACCTCGGGGGCAGCGGTGGGGGTGGGGTGTCGAGCGCGCGTCCGTGATGGGCGTGCACGCTCGGCACCCCTTGGCGTGACTGCGCTCCCCGCCTGCTGTGCAGCTCCGTCAAACCCTCACCTGGCTGAGAAATCTCTGAGGCTTGAAGCAACTTTGTGGAGTATCCCGGGCGTGGCGGGCCTGGAGGCAGTGGGGGTGGAGGTGCTTTAATGGTTCAACTTTGGCTTTTCTTTCATGAGAAAACATGAGGGAGAATGGAGTGGTGGTTCTGGTTGGATCCCCCTGGTGGGTCTAGGGTTGCCCTCCTGATACTCCATCAGGTCAGCCATGGGTTCTCCTGGATTCCCATTGAGCCCAGTAGTGCTACTGGAGTTGTTACCACACCAGATTCCTGTGACCCTGCCAGGGTCTGGCGGGACTGCGTATTGACAGCTCCACAGGGGCCAAGTAATGTCTGCAGCTAGCATGAAGATACACGAGTGGGAAGCGTGCAGATGTGTGACCACGAGTGTGTCCCTTGCTCAGTGATCAGCTGCTGGAAGAAAGGAACTACCTGGCAATGCAAACTATTGTGTTTGAGTTGAGCGCTTGGGGAACCAGATGCCCAGCTCTCAAGGGGCTGAGGATAGGTAGCAGGGACATATCCAGACCTGCTTTTCTGGCATCCCCATCCGGGCTTAGAGCAATGTATGTCATCCTCTTACTCTGTGTATTCCCTTCTCTGAGAGTCTCTCTGCTGCTCCTGTGCTGGCTGCTTCAGGGAACCTTCCCATAGTCCCTTTGCCAAGTCCTCTTTGTCTCCAGCCAGCATCCTTTTCTAGGAAGCAACTTTTGGACGCCCACTGATCTTGAATCCTTTCGGTTCTCTTCTGTGGGGATGGAGCCCATACGTGTTTTCCCCTGGCTATCAAAGCACAAGCCTTTGGGCTTAGAAGCCTTGTTCTTAGCTTGGTTGCTGCTTGGAGTGGCTTGGTAGCTGGACTAGTCAGTATCTAGCTGGATCTTCCAGGAAGGCAGTCTCTACTTGTGACCAGCTTTCAGATGAACATTTCCTTCCACCTCCATTATCTCCCTGGAGTCTCTCAGCCACCTCAGGAGAAGGCAGGGTCCTCAGGGAAGCGTCTGTTCTCAGAGGAGGGTACTGAGGTAGAAACTGAACCAAGAGAACAGGCCCTTGCCTCTCTGATGGGATACTCTAATCATGGTCCTGGAGAAGCTGGATAACTGGACTTTATTGCCCTGGAACCAGGACTCCAGAAGCCTCTTGCTGGAGCCACCCCAGTATAATAGCTCTCTGCTGTTAGTTACCGACGTCTTTCCTGGACGGGACAGCTATTCAGCCTGAAGTAGTTTAGTCAAGGCAGTTTATCTCTCTGATTTGGTCTATGAGACCTCCAGTCTGGTTAAACTTATGCTGCCTAGATTTGGGGCCAGATCCTGGCTGTGCTCTGTGATGGTTTGTGGCCTGGTCTGCTTGCTTACTCAAGCACAGTTCTGGCATGTCAGTATTATTCCAAGATGAGAGCTAGGCTGAGCCTTGGCATTGTCCTCTAGCAAGTAATTTTGCTGTAGAGAGCTAAAAGTATCCTTGGGGGGAAGGGAGGGATCTTGATGGCTCCTGGGTGGATTCCTCCCCAGGGGGCACAGCTCAAACACAGGAGATCAGAATAGCCTGTAGTATAGGTCTCTGTGACTCCTCAGGTCCATTCAGGCTTTTGGAGGTACAGGCTGTGGCTAAGGGATGATTGGGTCTCACCTTGGGTATAGTGATCGTGCCTGCAGGATAGATGCTACCACAGTTTCCTTAGCTTCTGTTGGCTTCTCCACCCAGGCAGCCTCTCCGCCTCTCCTCCTTTTCCCTGTGCTTGCTCTGAGTGATTCTCCAAGTCCTGCTGACTTGATGTTCTCAACCACGGCTTTTCCGTTCTCTTTCAATTATGCTCCCTCTCCTTCTCCCTCTGTGTCTCCCTAAACTGGACCTTTGTTTTCTTCTGAAGGGCTGGAAATCCAACCAAGGACCTGTATGTTAGGCAAGTTCTCTATCATTGAGCCTTGGCTTTTTGTTTCTTGAGTGTGGACCAATGTTCCAGGTGGCTGGAGAGTAACCCAACTTCTGCCATCCAGGCAGGCCTGTTTGAACCCCTGCCCTGTTCTGTTCTAGAGGTGTCTCTGCTCCATGCCTCCAGCTGGTTTTAGCCAGATGAGCTCTCTGTGCCATCCTAAGGTGGGGAAAGGGCAAGTCACTTCTTTGGCCCTTTGTCAGTGCTGCTGGTATAGAATCCTCCTGAGTCCCACTGACTGTCCCCTTAGGAAGATAGCCACTCCCACCCTAACCTCAGGAATGTGGCCCCTTGATTCTCCAGCTAGCCAGGGCCTGAGGCTCCTTAACCCCATTGTGTCTGGGGTTTAAATTGTAAAATTGCTACATTCAAACTCAGCTACCTAAGGAAGTTTCTGGGTAGACTGGATCATGGGGTGACTTGATGGCAAAAGCTGTCTCTGACCACTTAGACCTCCTTTAGGGGCAGAGAGTCACTCCCGAGAGTGTACATCTTTTTCATGATTTCCAGGGCTTAACACCTATTCCCAAACCACATCTTGTTCCTTTCTCTGCATTGCCTGGAATGCTGCACTTTGGACTCACTATACATCTGGGACATCTGGTTTGGAACCTGGGGTGCATGCCGACGATAGTGCTAGCCCTCCTTGGATGAGCTGCGAAGGGGAGCCAGGCTTGGACCCACAACCCTGCGTCTGAGCAGAGAGGGCCCAGTGAGTCCACAAGCATAGATTGTGGGCCTGGATCTGGACCTGCTGAAATGTTTCTGGTACGTGGTGGATGCTCAGTAAGTCTTTGTTGAATCAATGAGTGCCTGGAGAATGTGGATGTGGGTGAGGGTTTTCCAGGAGATGGCCCAGCATCAGCAAAGGCAAGGAGGTGGGAAGTTCCCGGTGTGGGTAGAGTGTGTTTGCTATGGAGCAGCTCATGCAGGAGAATGACAGGCAATAAGCAGGATGACATGAGTGCCCAGAGAAGGAGCCTGTGTTGATGCCAGATACAGGGGTCAGACATAAAATTCTCAAGGGACAAAATTAGATTTGTGATTTAAACCATGTTGTTGGTGATGGTGGGGAGCCTTGCTTGGCCAGAGAGGCAGTGAGGAAGACCTGAGCCTTCAGGGGAGCCCAGGCTCAGGGGCAGCAGCAGGGGCAGCAGCCTGGTGTATCTTCTTGGGAAGGGCAAGTGACAAAGTGATTGAAGACAGATTCTTTCTGAGTAGAGACATGAGTGGGTCGAAAGAGTCGGTCTAGGGCTCGGGTTAGTGCCAGCATCACCTACGAGACATGCAGAAATGGCAAGTGACCTGAGCCACACATGTAGTTTCTAGTACTGTGTGCCTCTGAGCAAGCCCAGAGCTAGCCCCTGGGCCTCCGTGTCTCTCTGTATCTTCACGATGGGGACGGCTGTGTCCCTGGACAGCTGGAGTGAGTTTGGGTGATCTATAACCTTGGAAGTTGGTTACCAAGGGATGGGGCTAGAGGTCAGCATTGCTGTTAGATGGATAAAGAGATTGGGCTCCAGAGGGGCGTGACTTTCATAGGGCATAAAGTCAGGAGTACAGCATTCCAGCCTAGCATTTCCCCGACTATTCCTGGGACCTGCTGGGCAGAGGTGGGTGGGGTTGTGAGGGCCTCTGGGGCACTGAAGAGGGCATCCTCAGGCAGTCCAGCTGTCAGGGAGCATATGGGGCCATATGGCCACATCAGGGGAGGTGCTAGCTGCTGGAGGAGAGATAGTGGCAGTCACCATCGCCTTTTGGGTCTATGTGGGCACTGCCAGCTACCAGGGCCAGGGCAGGCAGAGGCCAAAATGGAACCTTGATGTCCAGGTTGGTTTGGACATGGAGGTTGGATCTTGGCAGGTGGCCCAGTGGTAGCACCCATCTGCTAGTGCAGCTGGATAGGCAGCTTTGTGTCTGGGACTTATCCAGTTTGCCTAAGGGCAGCTGCTACAGTCACCTTACTCTCACATGCCCCACTCAGCTCTGATGGCCCTGCAGCGCATGAGCCTTGGGGAGCCAGCCTCAGGACTCAGTGGAGTCTGTATGTGCATGTGGTTTACTCCCTCACACTGAGAACTAATTCTGTCGCTGAGATTCTGGGTGCGGACAGCCTTAAACCAACCTGGTATGACCAAAATGCCCTGGGGTGTGCATGCCAGATGGAACTGGGTTTTAATTCTTATCTGCTGCCAAGCCTGGTGAACCTGGGTTTTGAACTGTAGTTTCTTTGCCTGTATCATGGAGATACTGATATTGGCATAATAGAAATGTCATCAACATGCTTTGAAAACATTCTCTTCAAGAGTGTAGAGTGCCAGGCAGTGGGAGCTCATTTTGTGCCCTCTGTGGGGGAGAAAACTCATTGATTTCAGTGTCCTGACTGAAGCAAAGAGGAACTTTGCCATTATCTCCTAGAACAAAATTTGTCATGTATTTTTCATATTTTAATACTTTTTGGGGTGGTGGTAGTAGGACCTCCTGTAGCTCAGGCTGGCCTTAAACTCACTCTCCAGCAGAAGATGACCTTGAATTCCTGATCCTTCTGCTTCCACTTACAAAGTGCCGGGGTCACAAGCATGTGCCACCACACCTGGTTCCCTACATATATACATAGATATTGTATTTATTTATTATTTTAACTTCAGGTGTGTGAGCTTTTGTCTGTGTGTATGTAAGTGCCCCACATGCATAGGTTGTCTAGAGAGGTCAGCAGAGGATATCGGATCCTTTGGAGCTGGGGTTACAGGTGGGTGTGAGCCACCAAGTGGGAGCTGGGCACTGAGCCTGGGTCCTCTGCAAGAGCAGCAGTGTTCTTAAACT